ACACGTCGCGATATCGGACCCGAACTACGGTTCTCTGAGAGGGGGCGCCTCCGCGCAACAGCAGCACCAGCAAAACGGCTCAGCGTTCGCCGGACCACCTACCTCAGCCGTAGCCGCCGCGCCATCAGCCCATCAACAACAACCAGAGCAGCCGGCGAGCTTCGCACCAATGGCATACAACCCCGCCGCCCCAGCCGCTCCAGAAACAATCCGCCACAGAGAAAAGACCCCGCCCCCCGAAGACGGTGTCGCGGACCCGCTAGCCGCGGCCGTCGCCTACGACGCCCAGGCCCCGTTCTCCCCAGGCTTCGTCCCCCCTCCCGGGTTCCAAAGCGCACAGGGACACGGGAGAATCGACCTCCCGCCCCCTCCCCCACCGCCGCAATTTGGTGGGCCCCCAGGCCAACCCGTCCTCCAGCGCGCAGCAACGATGCCAGTGCAAGCCGTACACGGCGGCCTCGCGTCTCCGGGACTCGTCAACCCATACGCGAACGGCAGCCCGTTCCCCTCGTCCCCGGGCTTCGCGCCGCCGCCCCCGCCGCCTACTCAGCCGCCTCAACTTCAACAGCCTCAGCCGCAAGTACAGCAGCAGGGAACACCCCAACCGCAAGCCGGAGCCGTCCACACTCCCCCGACACCACCCTCAGCAACGACTGCGGCCTCCGCGCCCCCGGCTGCAGGGGCCCCGATGTCGCCCCCGCCAGGCGGGTTCTCGCAGTACTCGTATAGCAGTAGCAACGGGGGCAGCCAGCAGCAGCAGCCGGGAGCGTTCGACTACTCTATTCACCAGCAGGCGTATCGGCCTACGGAGGTGGAGGCGGGCAAGTATAAGGGGTATACGGGCAAGCAGGACCCGACGGGAAGGCTGGAGGCGAATGTTGGCAGGTTGGAGAAGGGTGTTACGGGGATGTTTAGGAAGTTCGAGAAGAAATTTGGGTGATTGGGGTACGTGATGGCGATGTGAGGGAAAGGGGGAAGGGGGAGGGGGCGACTCATGGTTTGGATGATTTTCGCTTTATTCTTTGAGTTCCATAATGGGGGAGCAATCCTGGGTGCTCTGGGTAGTTTGGTCATTGAGTACGTAACCTCAATAGATAATTTTCCTGTTCACAAATATTCCGGATACCGCGTGCCTCGCTGAGAAGTCGGGCTCTTGCCTGGGTGTATACTCACAAATATCATCAATGCTAAGCGGATTTCCCAGTCAATGAGGCATCTCATCCAATTCTCACTAAAGAGACTGGGTATTTGTAGCAGAGCCTTTGGTCCGGTACACACTCTTGCCCCCCTCTCCACTTCCTCCCTTTCTCTTCAAACGGGTGAAGCTGAAAAGAGGCGGCCGCCTCCAAGCGCTAGGCTACCAACGATGATGAGGAGCCAACGAGCCATCGTTATTCACTCTGTCCTCGCCCTGGTGGTGGCATTTCATCCTTCAGAAAGAGCCTTTCAAGACGTTGACGAAGATCCTAGCCGCGTGTGATGACCCTAGAGCAATTAGCTTCTCCAAGGCAGATGTCCGATCGCGGTTCGGCCGTCAAGATTTGCTCGCTGAAGCTGAATGCGGGGAGAATTATGCAGATAACCCGAGAACAAGAGCCCTAATGCTTGCTCTGTTGATAGGATGAGTTATTGGCGGGTTTGTAGGTTACGGATTTTCACAAACGCTTCCCCTGTTAGCATACTTCACGAGTAAGACAAGGTAGAAACTTATATTCATGCCTTCGGAGCTAACAGTCTTACTTTCACAGCGGAGCGTTACATGCGCTATTCTTAATTTTTGTACCATCTCGGTTCAGGTACTTTTCCGATGCGGCATTCTTTCTCCCAGCTCCACATTCAAAGACGGCAACGGCATTGCTTCCCAACCACTATTAAAGCGCGTTTAGAATTGATGCAGATAGCGATTTTCATCAGGGATAGCATCCATTTTTGAGTTGTCATGAATGGGCAGCGCAGGCAGCAAGCAAAGTACACCAATCTCACAGTATCTTGTCGATCGGCAGTTGTATCCCGTACGTTATGCATGGATGCGATTGACAACGTGGTGGCCTGGCACGCCTGGGGGAGGATTCGCGACTTTTGGGGGCCGGAATGTCGCTCCGTCAGAACGGCCCAGGTCTAGTTTCTTCCAAGTGGCAAAGTGATGAGGCTTTGTTGGTCTCGGCATGTGGTGGAGGGCTGGCAGGATTCATGATACAGACCGCAATGCGTAGTGATGAATCCTGCGAGCGATAGCTGCAGCTGACAGTGGATGGGTCTCCGTGAAACAGCGGGATGGGGTTGCCAGGTGTGATAGCGTCTTGCCTTTTTCCTATGATGGAGAAGAATGCCTTTCTTTCCCCAGGCTCTCTGATACTCCTCATTTGCATAGTTTGTCGTCAACCAGAAAAATAAATATGCTCGGATACTCCGTACATAAGAATTCGTTCTCCTCGAAGACATTGACAGCGGAACTGGTACCAAGCCTCGGCTCGTATAAGTCAAGATTGTGGCACCTTGAGAGAACCGATTCAACGTTGCTTCGCCTTATCCTTAATGCGGAAAAATTCCAGATTTCGCGCGGAGGTTGCGCTGGACGGCGTCTTCCAATGAGCTGACACAACGGGCCTAACTATTAGGTTGTCCGACCCGAGGCACGGCTGGCTGCCCTACAGGCAATGGCCGCTCTGCAAAATGGCCAGTCGTCTCTCTCTCCTCAAGTCCTGTCAGCGCTACTCGCGAAGGTGGACGAATTAGAGGGTGCGGCTAGGCGATTGGGTGATTTAAGCCGGCGTGCAGAAATGTCTTAGACAAAAAGTGCATCTGTCTTAGACTTGCATGATAGCTGGGCTTTCGTTCCTGAATAGCGTTGCGCCCTTGAGGAAGTCTTGAAAACCGTGTATTAGTATCCAGGTGTTGATTTCGGAACTATTTGACTGAATCTGAGGGACAGCATGCGAGATATGTCCTCGAGAAGGGCTGCGGCAGCTTTCGAAGAATGAAGATGGCGAGGTAACTGGGCTGACATGACTTGCTTGCAGCGCTGGAGTAAGCCCACGCAGGCGGCAGCCCCTCCGTCCCCAGCCACATGGTCATCATGATGCAGATGAGGCGGTGCTGGAGACCGCGGGGCATCCCTGCCATTCCTTGACTGGCTCGCGAGCTGCCAGGCAGCCCCAATGTTGGCGGTTAATCTTCTCGCAAGTCACATCCTATCCACGCTATCTCACCTGTCCCGGGGAACCCTGCCAGCTTGCCATGTCTGTGGGCTGTGGCAGAGCAGCAGATTAGTTCGCATATTGTACTGAGAGGGAAGCAGTCGGTGGCTGGTGAGAGCTGCTCTACACTATCCTCTGGAGGCTGGTGCGTCGATGTTGCTTGATTTTCGTTGCACTGTTACTGGGCCATGATGCTTGTTGCTGGAAATAGTTTACCGGTACCGGGCAAAACTGGAGACACAGCGCTCGAGTTCTTCTTGGCCAAGTGGGTTCAAATCAATCGAAAAGCCCAAGCCGGATGGCGGCATGGCATAGCGACGGCGTTCCTGAGGAGGCCCCTGCTAATGCTTAAATTCGTGACACGGCAGGCGACGGAAGCGAAATCACTGCCCTAGGGCATGAAATCAACAGAAGGGGCGGGAGCAGTAACTTTTTGTCAAGGACAGATCAATCCCATCGTCGACTCTTCAGGCGTGAGAGATTTTTGTCTGATGTCACCCGTGGACCTGAATAGAGACAGGAAACGGGGAAGTCGATGGAGCAAAGCTGAAGGGGGGGGGGGGGGTTGACATTTCGTGGGCCAGAAGCTTTAGGGCCGAATGACACCGTTGCAGCAAGCCGCAAGCCACACGTCAAGCCCCAAGGACAGGCTGCCGGCGCGATGGGATCGCCAGTGATGATGATAGCGCCAATCTGTATGATGTCTCCATAGCCTGTGTGCCTGTGCAGAGCGGGTGAGCAAGACTGGCGCCAACACCAACACCGCCCTGCCCTGGGCACTGCCTCACGCCCCGATGGTCTGGGTTGGGCTGACTGAAAGTTGGGCCCCCTGGGAGGTGTCTAACGCAGCGGCCATGGGCTCGAATATTGACTGCAGATGTATGGATGGTCCTGATTTGGCATTCGTACTTGGGTGATTGATGTCATATGGTGATTTGAATGGAAGCTCCTGTTGCTCAGTGAACCCCGGAGGAAGACAGATTGATTCGATTGAACGCCCTGTGCGGAAAGGGGTTGATTGGAGAAACAAGACTCGCTGTTTGCTCTGCAAGTGAAGTTTGACAGACGCAGAGGACAGGCCTCTTCTCCTTCACGTTTCGCCCGGGCCGTGTTTGCAGATAGTCTTCCTGATAGGAGTACGGAGCACGGAGTGTGTAGTAGGCAGGTATGACGGTGTCATGTATTCATGTACGGGTACACAGATAGGTACGTTGGAAAACGCCGAGAATGATTCGATGAACGGCGTTCGCTGATTTGGGGTAAACTCAAATGATTTGATAGCTTGGTTCATTGGTTCATTGGCGGTTCGGTCGGCCTGCCATCTTATGTCTACCCGGAGCGGCATTGAGAACAGTCGGGATTGTCTTGTCTGATATCATTGACGGCGAAGGCCGTGGCCATTGACTCGAATCCGTTCCGCGGGGTCCAGTGCAGCTGCGTACGTGAGACACCAGAGACTACTCCTCAGAGAGAGAGCGCATCAGAGAATTGGAGAGGGAGGACGCGACGACTTGCATCGTCCTCAAGCAGAGTTGCAACGGGATGAGCGGCGCGCAGAGCAACGTAGAACCTGGACAAGGTTAGCGCATAGATTCTTTCCGCCGCCGGCACCCACTAAGGAACATACACGAGCGACGCTAAGGTAAGCTACGAGGCGGCCCACCTCGAGGGGGGAGTGGAGGATGTTTGTTGTGCGAGGTACCTCGTTTCTCACGTTGTAGTGGGTTGTTGAAGAAGTACCTTTGAAACATGGCCAGAGAGTGAGGGCCAGTGAGTCTGCCAAAAAGATGTCAGGAAGAGAGAATGGAAGAGAAGGAGTCTCGGGGTCCAGCTGGGAAGGGCAACCGCAGACTGAGGTGCAATTGCAACAGCAGCTGCAGGCGCGGCCGTGGGCAGCTGCAACAATCCACTTTTGCATCCTGCTCTGCTCCTGCCTCCTTCTCGTGCCTGCGTCCCTGCCTCCTGCCTTCCGTCGAAGCTCTACCTTACACAGTACGTACCCAGGTCCTGCTGCGCTGCGCTGAGGCATCCGCAATCCTCGTCCTCGTCCTCGTCCTCATCTCAGGTTCACCCGCAACCTCGACCGCGACATCAACCGAGACTTTGCCTGTTCACCTTTCCTCCGTCTGCTCTTCTTCTCCTTACCTACTAGGTTATGCAACCAACATCACCACAGCTTTTCCCAAACAACGCCAATCAATCCATCAGTCAATACACATAACTTATTCAACCGTCCACTATACGCCAGCCCGGTCATCCTGACGTCCCACGTCCAACATCCAACCAGCAATACGCAATACGCTTACGGATACCCGCCTTGATTACCTTACTCAGGCAAACCAAGAGACAATCGACAGCGGTGATCCGATCCAGCAACGCTGCTGCCTCTCGTCCATCCGCCTCCGCCTCCGCCTCCCTCCTGCATCGCTACCAAGACCAAGCACGCATACGGATACAGAGCACTTCAAGGGCAAGGCACCGACCTGCTGCTCCGTGCCTCCCAGCCTCACAAAGCTCACACCCTTCCCGGATCCATCAAACCCACTCACCCACCTGAAAGGACCCTTCATCGTTCACCACCAAGTCCCACTGCGCTGCACAGCACTGCGCACAGAGACGAGGCACAAGTCTACACCCAGTCTACGGGCACGGATACGTACCTCGCCGCCAGCTTCTGGAACCCCGGACCTTTCGAGGTTGACCCTGTGCTACTACCACCACGGCGCCGCTACCACCTACCAAGTACCAACCTGCACCTTGCCTGGACCTGGTCCCGTCAGTCTTCTCGCCTCACCTCACCTCATCTCACCTCCAACCGCCAAATCAACCGACTGTTGCTTGCCTCCTTCTTTCTCTCCCACATCGCCTCTCGACTGCTCCCACGTCCACAACACTTCGACCATCACCTGTATCGCCATCCTCTCGTCTCCAATCCCAACACGTCCCCATAAGCGTCCCTGCAATTACCGAGTCTCAATGTCCCAGTCCTGACGCTTATTATTCGCTTTGCGCAGCTGGGACGCCCCGCCTTAATCCGCCTCGCCGTTAACTCCAGCGCCTCTCGACCTTAAACCGCCGACCCTTCCGTTCCGGTACTCTGTCGAAATCCAGTCGCTCGTTATACGCAATGTACCTCAAAATGCGAATACCACTCGACTTCTCCGCCGGTTTCCAGACCGGCTACCCTGCGACATTGCAACGTCGTGAAGAAATCGACGGCAGAAAAATTACCACAATTGTAAGTGACAAGACATGTGAAGGACTCTTTTCCCGTCCTCCATTACCCTAGAACAAGCCGCTGACGCCATACCACCAAAGGTCATCCTCGGTGTACTGGTTCTCCTCATCTTTATCGCCTTTGTCGTCTTTTCCCTCCGCGCATCTCGGCGCTCTACCCGCGGCAACAACAAGAAACCTGGCGGCGGTGGCTTTTTCAAATCAATATTGAAAAATGGTGGCAGAAACAGATACCGCCAGGCTCAGGATGAAGACTCCACCTCTACCGAGCGACTGACCGACCGCCGTCGATCCCGCCCCTCTTCTGTCGCATTCGATGCCTCGGCCGATCAGTCGCAGGCCGATGCCCGGTCTCCCAACAGCGCTGTCAACCGCAATACTTCGATTCGTTCGATTATGACGCTGCCTGCTTATCGGCCTGATCCGAACGAAACCGAGCAAGTTCTGGGTCGCGAAGGTGAACGCGGTGGTGTCGATGTGGTTATCGAATATCCCACGGAAGAAACAGAGGAGGATTTGCGTGATCAGGAGATGGAGGCTCTTTACCAGATTCGCCTAGCCCGCCGTCAAGAGCTTGCTGAGCGGGAGGAGCGGAGAGTGGAGCGCCGGGAAGCTCGGGAACGTGGCGACTTTGTAGCTCTGGACAACATCCGATCCAGAGCTCGGGCTGCCAGCAATAACAGCGTCGTCGCTGTGCTCCGAGAAGAACATGAACGCCTGAAGAATGAACGTCAGAGAGCTGTTTCCAGTGTTTCCTACGCCGACCTCGGTGTTGCTCGTCACGATGGTACACGACTTCGCGCCAACAGCAATGAGAGTGAGAGGATGGGGTTGCTGTCAGACTCCGCCAGTATTGCGGCCACCTCAATCCGATCTGGGGCCGGATCAGCCATGAACCACAGGAGAGGCAGCTCTGTAATGAGCATCGAAAGCGACCTACCTTCGCCGGGCTTCGCTTCTAGATCACAGGCGAATTCTCGACCAGATACCCCCCGCCTAGATACCCGAGCAGGGTCCAGCCCGGACGTTGAAGCTGACGTAGGAGACGCTGGTATGCCCATCTACTCTCCACCTGGATACGACGAAGTCTCGCTGGATGACGAGCGGTCCAGGAGCAACACCCCTCAACCTGGCACTGAGCCTCCGCCGACGTACCCCGGCCCTGCCCAGCAACGATCGGAGAGCATTGCCTCGAGCATGGCCGACCTGGCTGCAGATGAGCAGACTACGAACAACTCCGCAGACTCGCGCCGGAGCTCAAGGGTACCACGACTACCTAGTTTACGATTGCAGCAAGTGCCGCAAATCGTGATAGAACCTTCCAGTGCCAGGCCTCACGACGATAGGTGACGGCCTGAGCTGGGATCGCGCGAACCATATTCAATCTGATGATTACGGCTGAAGGCAATGAGCTTGTTGCAAACGAATGAACGCCTGGAGGCTATCTTGTTGGTACATACGAAGTCTTGAAGGGTGAAAACACATGCAGGTTGGACGGGGCACTTGCCCTCCTGAGGCAATGTCTCGAATCTCGTTTGTATAATAGTCTTCCGGCATACCGGATACCGGCGTTTGGCGAACCTCGTTCCGGATTGAACGAGTGCAAAGGATACCAAAGCGATTTTTTTTAGAGAAGTTGCTGTGCCATGTACAGTTGTAGCCTACGCGCTCAACGTAGAAATGGCTTGTCATTTTTCCGTCCATAAGAGAACACAATCTTGATTGATGATCTTGCGGTGATTGATTATGCCTTCTGTCACGGCTGGAGCAGTGATCGAGTGCGCCCAAATGCCTAAGATATCCAGTGTAGGTAGGCTCACTACTGCAGATGAAAGGGCGAGTATGCCTGAGATATTGCTTTTTGGATAAAACTAGCATCAGCCAACCGATCAGGCGGCCCTGGCTTGTATCGACACAAGAGTCATGGCCAAAAAAAAAAAAAAAAACACGATCGCTCTGAGGGATGGGGCTCACCTTGAGACTATTGATGAGTTTTCAGCGAATTCTGAGCACAGGGAGAATGATTTCAATTATGCTTAGCCTTCTGTTAGCGGTTGGGTGCTTCCAGGAACTCAAGTGTAGGGTCAAAGCCTGGTTTCCAAAGCATGGCTTGGGAAGTGAACGACGTACCTTCTGTGATGCTTCATACGGATACACCAGAGGAACGAAGGCAGACGTACGCATAGGAATGTCCGTTTGGCATCTATCTGATGGGAATATTGGCGGGGAATGAGACGTGGGCTTCAGTTTGTAAGGCCTCCGACAAGACTTGTAGAACAAATTTTGTCAATGTCAGAAAGACCGCGCGCAACGTCTTGTAGTGGGAGCTTCTACAACCAATGATCTCAACGTGAATAATGTTTCCTTCTTTCCACAAATCCAAGCTGAATCAAAATAAGTGGCTCTTGCATAAATTGCAGAGAAATATCTCCTGCATAAGTAATTTGTTGGAGATCTCTAGACTTCCTCGTGGTGAATATCTGCCTGGAATCTGGCATACCAGCCAAAAGCTGGGTACTCTACGACCGCTCCGGTTATGACGTGGAGAGTCTTGGGGTCTCTCTACACCTGCACCGAGAATTATATTTACTTCGCAAAGACGACTAGGATTCGACTGGGTGGGTGTAAGGTATTGAAATGGTGCCGGAGAGAGATGTGTCTCAATTCGAGCGTTCTGAATGGGAAGCGAGAAGACATCTCGGCGGTGCATGGCTTTCGGCTTCAGCAACGCTCATCGACTAGCAGGGGTGAAGAGTCAAGATTCCTTGGATGAGGCAGTGAGAGCTTTGGGTCAGTAAATGTGCCGTTGCTCGAACTCCAAAAATAAAGCCTCCGTGGCACACAGGTCGGCAGCAGAACAGGTTCTTGGACTGCCTGAACAGCACAGAACGTATGAGGTATGAGGCCTGAGACTCATATTGATCAACACTTGATCACATCGTCAAATGCTTAATGAGGTGGCGTGACCATTCGAATAGCCAAGCATGTCATGATGGCTTCAAGCAGACACCTACTACTCCGGGAACGCTACACGCATATACGCCTCAAGTTTCTCAAGAGCCTCCACAAGCACCTCGGTGTGACACACATACCCAATCCTCACGTACCCCTTAAAGTCCCTCCCATGACCAAAACACTTTGACCCCGGCACGAAGAACACATTCGTCTCCCTCAGCACATCCAGGCAGAACCGCACATCGTCCACCGGCTCGCCGCTCCTGTGGGTGAAGCGTATAAACGCAGTCGTTCCCGCCAACGGCCTCACCCAGGAGCACACGCCCTTGTGCTTCTCGATGAACGCTTCAAGGAGAGCCTTGTTGGCAACGGCGAGCCCGACGTTCCGACGTAGAAGCGGCGCATAGACGGGTGGTGATAGAGCGTAGGAGGCGATTTGGTCGTCGATTTGGGAGACGCTGATGGTGGTGTAGTCGCGGGCCGAGGCGACGGCTTGGATTATGGATTTGTCTGCGGAGGCGATCCAGCCGATGCGGATGCCGGCCAGGGCGTAGGATTTGGACATTGAGCCTGTGACGACGACTTTGGGGTAGCCAAAGGTTGTGAGGGGCGGGGGCACATCCGCGTCCCCGCTTGAGGAAGAGAAGAGGTTGTGAAAGAGGGGCCGGTAGACTTCGTCTGAGAAGAGGACGATGTCCCTGGCTTTGGCGAAGGCGACGAGAGAGGCGAGGACTGGTGCTGGGATGGGTATGCCGGTTGGATTGTTTGGGTTGTTGATGATGATCATCTGATGAACGGACTTAGTTCCAAAGGGCTGTCGTCATGAATGAGAAGATGAATTACCTTTGTGTTGGGCCTGACGAGGGCCTCGAGTTCGCTCACATCCGGCACGAAGCCGTTCTCCTCCTTGAGCCTCCACAAGGAGACATCCGCGCCGAGACTCTCGGGGACGCTGTAGAGCTGCTGGTACGTGGGATACACGCATATGACATGGTCGCCGGGGTTCACTAGGGTGTACAGCAGGAGGAAGTTGGCACCGATGGCGCCCTGCGTGATGAGCACGTTGTCTTCACAGAGCACGTCGGGAGTTGAGCCATCCGAGCCGGCCCCGGCGCCGCTACAGAGCGCCGCGATTTTCTGACGGAGCCGGGCGGAGCCGCGGATGGGGCCGTAGACTAGCTTTGTGGAGAGGTCGACGGGGCCGGGCGCGTGCTTGTCCTGAGAGAGTGTGACTAGATCATTTATGGAGACGGAGGCGGCGCAGGTCTCGGCGATGTTGAGGCAGCCTGGGGTGGTCTCGTACTCGTCCATCCATTGCTCCACGTCGAAGGCCGATATCCGAACCATTGTTGGGGGAGGTGGAAGGGGGGTTGGGCTGTGCGGGATGCGGGATTTGCTGGATTGGGGGATTCAGGATGATGGCATTTGAGCCGAGAAGAGGAGGTCTAGTGGGCAGCAATAAGCTTGGTGAGTGAGAGGGTAGGAGGAACGTGGAGAAGCGAGGCTTTTGCGATTTGCGCCGGGTATGGAATGATACAATGCCAAGGCTGGCGGGATCATGGGAAACTGAGATCTCAAACAAGAGTCATGGTCACTTTTGCTTATATCCGTACATACATGGACAAACACACAAACACACTCGCACAGTTGCTCCGACCTCGTGCATAAGGCGACTATGGCAATCCCGCGTATCAGCACGGACGGGATGCGTCTTCGAACTGCTCAGAGGAACATTGGGCGCTATGAGCACACGGCGGCGTCCCGGGACTAACACATGCCAATGGCCCGTCAACAGGGTGCGGATAGGAGACCGTCTGCCACTAGGAAGACTCTCCGCGGGCACAGATGTACGGGATTGCGTTGTTGGAGAAAAGCATAATGCCCTGGATGTTGGGTACCTGAGTGAGGTTCCATTCAATGCGGGGAGCAAAAGCAAAGGTAAAACAACGAAATCGCCTTGGGCTGAGATGAGCTGTGGCTGGAGCTTCTAGCTTTGGTGACAAACGTAAGGAATTATAAGCAAGACCGAGGTAAAACGAGGATAAACTAGATGTTAGCTCTTGGTGTGCCCATGATATGTTGTTTGTATCGTATCGTATCGTATCGGGTCAGTGCCAGTTCCAGTGACATTTTCTAGTTCCAAGGTAGCCAAAACATGTATGAGAAGCCTTTGAGTTAATCTGCTTGATCGGCACAGCTGAAGATAATAATCTGTTGTGTTCAAGGAATCATCTGCAGCTATACTTCGTCAGGCTCGACGTTGCTCGTGAGGCCACTGGCTGAAATCCCTGCTGAATCCCATCGTCTGTACTCTGCTGAACTGTGCCCATGGACGATCTTTTGTTCGAGATCAAGTACCATAATCCCTTCAGGTTCGGCCAGTCGAAGTATGTGAGAATGGAGTACACCACGGGTGGCAGATCCACCTGAGAGTCAGATGAGTGGCAGATGGACATGCCTGGTGCCTGACTTTACGCTTAGATGTGCAATCGCATTGTATCGATGTGTTTCAACGGCGACGTTGCTGGTGGTAAGTGCAAGGTCGCAGAGTGTAATGCTCATGGATCTCGTAGTTGGCAGGCGTCTTCCCTGCATGTTTGTCTGCATTGGGCAGTAGACGGCATGAGCTAAGCTGTTGAGGTAACTCCTCATCTACATACTGCGTACACTACTCCGTAGATAGGCACCGAGAACTCGAGGGAGGGGGGAACAAAGAGTAGAACTATTCTTAGCGTCTTGTCTCGTCCCGTCCCACGGAACTGGTTGACCGAGGGAAACGGCGGGGGTTTGGCCTCTGGGGAACAAGAGAAGAAGTCTGACAGATTGCGCTACAGAATGCTAAGGGCAATGGAAAGGCAGCGGACGTATCTACGAATACGTACCCAGGCACATGGTCAACGAACCTGAAGCCTCAGGCTCTTTACGGCACGAACTCAGTAGGTTCAGCCACCCCACGGGACGCTGATGCGTGTTTCCGTCTGGCACAGTGGGGTCCCCAGCCTGTCGAGGTACGTCTCCTACAAATTCATCCACTGTGACGCCACCGCCACCTCACGATTGGACCGTCCCGTCCAGCTGGAGACACCTCGGAAGCGGGTACGTACCGCAGTAAGGTACCAGCAAGCCGCGTCGCTGGTTGCTGGGCGCTGGATTGCTGGGTGCTTGCTGCTGCGGGTTATTATCGGCCGGTGGTACCTCTGTTATCGGCTCGGTGCCTTGGTCCAGCGCAGGTCATCCACGTCTGCTTCACACGCCTCCTCCCGCAGGCCAAGAGCTTCCACTCCTCCCCCATCCTCCGCCGCTCTGTTCGCAGCCGTGTCCATGTCCGTTGGGTCCAGTTCAGTCCAGTCTGTGATCTGACCTTCTTTCTCCCCTCTCTGATCTGCTCCTAACAT